AAGAAAATAGATTTAAGCTTCTGTGCTAGAACAGGGAGCTCTTGATAAATAATCAAAAATTGACAAATTATAAAAATATTGAATTTATTAAGTGCACAGAACTGGGCTGTAAGTATATACATATTTGTTATGAAATATAGCAGTGTTATTCAGTATATTTTTTTCTCACTGAAGAAGTGAAGATTTTGGCAGTGAAGATTTGGTAACTTCTGGTAACTTTTCTTAAGAGATTTTGGTAGAAAAAAATGTTGGCGAGTGGCAACCATGATCAGGACACCAGAAAAAGCCTATTTTGCAAAACAAAAGCGCCAAGTTTTTATCATCGTATAACATTTTTTTCTGATTTTTTGTTAAATAGCAAAACTTTAAAAACATATATTCAGTTCTTCCCACTCATAGTAAATGTCATACATTTTGCAAACAATTTTTCGTAAAGGAGAGAGAGAACTGATTATGTAAGATTGTTAGTGCCACAAAATTTACTGACAAAAGTAATTGAGACTTTAACTCGTTCGAAAAAATTGCGTCGATGCCATTCAAAAACACTTTATGCTTAAAATTTGTTTGGGAAGTTCATATAAATATTAATATGATATTAATATAATTGTTCAAACAAAGAAATAAATAAAAATTGTCCGTTATAACATCAAACGTACCGAGTACATGACTTCTTTTAACAAGTTCTTTGAGTGAGTATCTTTTCGATTAACCCTGTCCTTAACTTTAATTTATATTCTGAGAAAACAAAGTTTGGTGATAGATGCGCTATTGTGTGTAATGTATACATATATATTTTTCTTTTAAAGCACAAGTTCTAATTGGCGAGGAGATCGATTTTTGGTTGTTACATAAGATTTACAAACTTCTTTCCCACGACGGCCGGATCTACGTACCGGAATGACTCGGGTTTTACCCGACTAAGGGCTGTTGTCCGGACGATCTAAGCCCGGTTAGGTAGGCGAAATCCCTATAAAGTTTTACATCCATAGAGCTACATCTGCTTCGCATACTTCTGCTCAGGGCTGACATAGAGTCAAACCCTGGGCCAGAAACCTACATCTGATGCGTGTGCCAGAGACGACTTCACCATAACTCCATCTCCGTCAGGTGCAACGCCACCTCCTAGTTTGTTCAGGTCTTATGACTCGAAGGCTGTGGACCACCTCATTCGTGCCCCTTGCTGCTCACACCGAGCTGCCTCCACCAGACCAAAACAGAGTCCGCCTGTGCAACTCAACACAACCACAAATATGTGATGTATTACATCATTGTATACAATACAATAGACAGCACCACAGACACAACAGCACCACCACCCACACGCGGCGTGTGACACACCGCCGCCAACAACTCTTGGTTCTCCCGACAATCTGCTCGGTGTGTCAGTCCAGGATGTTCCGTAACGTGACATCAGTCAGGTGTAACACTTGCCTTGGCTGGTGCTACTTTAGGGTATGTTCAGGAGCTTGCACCACGCGAGATTGGACGAGGGACTATGAGGGTCCGTTGACTGTTGAATTGCGCCGGATACAACGTGCACCGTCGAGATCCGTGTTGTGTGGACTATTGTTTTTATCTCCTTTGGGGCTGCTGTTCGCGGGCGCGGTTATTCGCGGGCAGTTTATATAAACTGAGCTGATTGAAGTTATTTTCATTCCTAGTCACTAATATTTTAATAAATAAATAATCTTTTCAATGCTCAAGTGTGATTTGCATTTATTAAATGTATATTATATCATTTCTTAACAATCAAAAAAGCGTTTACTAATTTCGCTGTTTCTCTTTAACAAAGTGACAGCAGAAGGGTGCTACCAGAGGTAAGAAAATCGCAGGCAGTTTTTTTCATAACGACCTCGATAACATAACGCAATATATCGTCACCTGGAACGCAAAAAGACGTAACAATCATCATCGTTAAAATGCAAACAGTCATAACTAGGGCTCGGAATCCGATGCAAATGCATGTTTTTACAGTTCGTCTTCAAATGGAAATGGTTACGTTAGCTTTACGAATCATGAAATTTCCTTTAAAATGGCATTCAATCGTCAGTGCATATTTTGCAGTAAATGCATGATTTTGCATATTTTTCAAAAATACCAGCAAAAATGTGCTAATTTGAAATTTGAAATTGCGAAATCAAATAAAAGCGCAGCTTACTAAGTATACAAGTCCGTCCAATGAAGTACATGAGATGTGAAAGCAAACCAAGTAAAGGGAGGCTATACCTCCAGAATTTTTACGGAGATGCACATTAGGTATTGCAAATTGCATCCAGGAACTAAAAAAAAAGCAGAAGTATACTAAACATTGTGTTAATAATTTTTTTTTGTGAAACTTGTTAAAAAGTTATTAAAAATATATGAGTGCAAAACTGTAACATTTGCATTAATTTACATTTTTGTCTGCTGGTTTTAATATTGTTGTTGGATTGACTTAAAATCATTATGAGAGAGGAAGTACAGGTGTACCAATAAGAACATAAAACAAAAGTATGAAAGTCGTTTTAACTTGGAACGATAGCGATGGCTGAAGTAAAAAGTGTTACACCATGTTACACTTTTGTCCGTCACTGTAAACCGACCAAACATTAATCTGAACCACTATTAAAGTGTCAATGTTTCTATTTACACAAGATTGTAACTGTCTGCTTGGAAATAAAAAAATTTTATACATAAATTTGTATTGGTTTTTGAAGTGAATTGTTTTGGCTATTTTCTTGTTAAAATACATGTGTTATTTATTTTTGTACCGGCAATAAAATATTGGGAAAATGTTTTTAATTGCATATTTTATTTGTTTATAGCGCACATTTTTGAATTTTGAGTGCATATTATATGCGCATATTTTCGATTAGTGCATGAGATTCCGAGCCCTAGTCATAACTAATAAAAATTCAAAATTCACTTTTTGATTTATATGATGGATTTCATCGAATTACAGCTCCCCACATCATTTAATGAAAAAAAAATGTAAATATTAGTAACGACTTTTTCCATTTCATTTACGATGTTACGTCTTTTTGCATTCAGGTGACGATATGAAATATATGCTTTTCAAATTAAACCCTAAAACGAACGCCCCTTTGAATATAAATTTTTACAAAAAATGTTATTTCCCTTTGAATATCCATTTGCATAAGAAATATTATACACCATTGATAAAAAAGAGGGTCCCCGTCAAACACAATTACATAATGACATGGATCCATGAATGAGCTCATTATTATATATCAGAAATATAAACGCAATCAAAATTTAATTCCATTCATTTGATTGTAAAATAGAAACGTGAATCAGTTTCCTATTATTAAAGTTTTGTTGATATAGGAGTTTTTCAAATAATTACTAAAAAATTCTTTTACATTTATTCCACTGGTTTACAGCAAAAATTTTGTATGGATGCCACTATCCAATTCCTATGTAGAATTGCTCAGTGATTCCGAAAATCGAGTTCATTTTTTTCCTATGGATACGTTTTCGAGATATTTGCAATTTACCGTTATTCAGCTAAAAGCACGTGCATATATCTTACAAACCAATTCAAAAATCTTAATATAAAATACGGCAAATGAAAGCCAATGAAATTTTCCATAAACCCGTGTACACCACTCTCCGATAGGGCTTATAGTTTCAATGGGATATCTGTAAAAAAACTGCAACAAACTTACAGTGGACTTTATTTTGACTATGACTAAGGGCCAATCTTTTTCATCCTATTTTTAGCTAATTCGAAAAAGTTAAAATAAATTAAGTTAGGGAACTTCCTTTTCTTCTTAAAAGGAATCGCTATATCTATAAACTATTTTATACTTTTTAGTTCTTGTTGTAATAAAAGCGTGTTTTTAGTTTTTTAACTATAATTTTATTTTCTACTTTATAGTCATTTGAAATATTGCAATTAATATTATACTGTATGTATATTTCTCATTCTGTCCATTTCTTTCAATGCATCGTTATTGCATGGCTTCTTTCCAGTCAGTTTCGAGTTATCCAATTCCTCTGTCTGAAGTCCTTCTTGAAGTAGGCTTGACCTTTTGCGAACAGCTTTGATCCTAGGTATACGACAGCGTAGTCCACAGTAATACTTGCATCTTATGCACTGTTGATGCCCATGATAGAATTACTGGCAGTATTCTCCTTTCAGCGGTTCGGTAACTTAACTTTGCCGGGAACTGTATTGACTTTGGCTGTATTGCCTTCATTTCCAAAGTTTACACGTATTGATGGTAAATCTTCTGCATACATTTGATCTCGTCTAAAATTTGGCCAAAGCGGAGCACAGATGCCGATTTTTTAGTTATATAGACTCACGCACCACATAACTGCCAACATTTTTTGTGTAGTTATTTCTTTTCATGTAAGCAATATGCATTCTAAATGTGAACTTAATCGGATCATAAATACGGTGTTTCCCAATATCTCGACTCCTGCGCCACCTATCGGCAATTTTTTGTGGATTTATTTCTTTTCATACAAGTAATATATGTTCTAAATATGAACCACAGCAAACTATTAATGCGGGTTTTACAAATATCTCGACTCCTGCGCCACCAGCGGACTAAGTCATCTTTTATATTGCACTGCCCTCGAGTTCTGAGCTAAGTTTAAAGTTTCAAGTCTGTAGCTCATCGGGAAGTTGGTTAAATATTGATTGCAAAGTTCCAGGACATACATACATACATACAAGTGTTACAAGTTAAATAAAAGCTTGTAAAAACAAGTAATTTTTAGCAAAAAAAAACCGACTTCAACTCCCATATAAAAAAAAATATATATAATTATCTCATGATCCACTGATCGGATCTCAACCAGATTAGTACGGGACCACCTCTGAGACACTACCTTTCCGATGCAAAATTATCGAAATCGGTCCAAAGTTATGCGGTAACATACATAAAAAAAAAAAAAAAAAAAAATATTCCGACGAACTGATAACCTCCTCCTTTTTTGGAAGTCGGTTAAAAACTAACTCGATTTTCGGAATTACCGGGCTATTCTAGATATAAATTAGATGACATGGGAGACAACTTTTGACTCAACTAATCGCCTCTAAAATTTCCTGGAAAATCGCCTGATGTGAACACCGTATGAGCTGTACGGAGATGGCAACGTATACATATTAACCACTAAACACTTCCCAGCAAAAACTTTAAACTTTTTGGAAAGTACTTATTTTTGTTTCAATGGAGTAACGCAATACAAGTCCCCTCAAGACAATTTTCGCTTATCCATTGCATTACAAGTAATGCAACAACTGTGAAATAATAGATTTTGTTTACCTTTTTTGACATTTTAGAGAACAAAATCAACAACAAAATACACGCAGCTTGTTGTATTTGCCTGAGCGATTTTGCCGAGTTCAACAAAGCACGCCAGTCACTCCTCCATTTTTATTTTAGCGATAATTATTCAAGTGCCACCCAAATAGTCGTCGAATTCAAAGATTCTGATGAATACAATAACATGTTTCTTAGATTTTGTATCTTAATAAGTGCGATAAAGATGCAGAGAATTGTAATAACTGAAATATATTATATATTTTAAAGGATAATATAACGCTTTGTGAAAGAAACTAAACTTAAAAATATTTATTTCTTTTGTGGGGAATTTTAAAATTTGTGTGAGGATATGTGGGTAACTTGGATTTTTTTCTTGGTAATTAAACAAATTGAAAACGGCAACGCAGCTTCAATTGGAAATGGTTAAGTTATCTGTACGAATCATGGAATTTTCTTTAAACTGGCATTCAATCGTTAGTATATAGTTAATTATAATTTTAATTGTTATTAATTTAAATAAATTAAGGTTGTCGTATATTTTAAAATATATGCATCAGGCTTTCCATATATTTTTATTTTTTTTTACAACCATTTAAATATAGTGCGAAATCTCTAGACAAAAAATCCCCTTGACAAAAAAATTGCCGTTGAGGCACTCTGTTCTACCTCTATTAAATCTCAACTAGTGAACGACTATAGGAGAGACCTGCCCTATTTATATGTATCTCTGATCAACACGAAATTACTGAAACTGATTTGGATACGCTTTGAATAAAACTAAGAATAATTGTTTGTGGAGATGATTTGCCTGAATTTCCGTTGATTTTGGAACTGGTTGAACTGCAGAGTGTGAAAGAACGTCCAATGCAATTAACAGCAATGCGATTATGTGTAGGAACTCTTTGTGCACCAAATCAGCCAGTGGAATTTTGAAAGGCAAAAGTTTTGTTTTTAAACAAAGTGTAGTCGAAATCGCACGGCCCTCTGTTGAAAAAGTTGAACAAAAAATGCATTTAATTATGTAAACGTTATCACATCAAAGAAATGTTTCACTTAAGTATATTTGTAATTACCTTAAAAATAGTTATTTGTGACTTTATGGAAAATTTATTTTTATGTTGGTTTTGTTACCGAATCTAAAACTATTTATTTTTTTTTCTAGCAGTGCGCCAAAGGAAACAGAAACGTTCCAAACGTTATCGAAACTTAAATTAATGCTATGCCATAAAGTGTCAGTGTATGTAAAAAAAACCTAATACAGAAATAAAACACAAAACTATCGTCCAGTAAATTTTTTTGTAAATCATTTTCGGGTGTTTCTTAAACACCCACCACTTGAAATGACTAATTTACTGCTAAAATCAAGAAAATTGGGTAATTTCTAGTGCAAACTCATTTGTAGGTTATGGGGAATAAAAATACAGGTAGTAAACAAATGTGCCAGTTACCAAGTGCGAGAAAAAAGGCTGTTCACAACTGTAACTAAATTTTGCGTATTTTATAAAAATCGTGAATTTTCTTGTAATAGTCGTTGAGTGGTCGTTTAAAATAATCTTCTTTACTTCTTCAGAAGAAGAAGACTAAGTGTAAGGGCAACGTGCTCTTAACATTTCTGAAAAATGGTCTTGAGAAAACGCGTAACCAGTGCGTAACTTTTTATTTAATAATAGATTTTCGGTCAGTGATGGATAATTCTTAAGCTGAGATCCCACGATTGCCGCAATACACCTCATTTTATGCCCCAATTGTGTGATTTCACAATAAATTGACTCATGCCTCAATTTGGCCGATATTGTGCTTACTGTGCCCAATCAAATACAACCCGGTTGCGGCAATCGTGTGATGGCTCGATTGGCAATCATGTGTCAATGAAAATTTCAAAATTTCGTGAATATTTAATCTTTTCTTGTGCGGCAATTGAAGTGAACAATACACAACAATATTTAGGCTGTTTAATAGTAATTTACTTTTTTGCTTCCTTGTGTGTCCAAAAATCACTGAAATCAATATCCTTGTTTTCGGAAGTAACATAACTTAATTTAATTTGTATTCAACTTATTATTATACCCGAGCGCACTTGTGCACAAGGATATATAAACTTTGTTCACATTACGGTTGTTTGTAACAGGCAAAACGAATCGAGATAGATATAGACAAATATGTACATAGATGATCATAATGAAAAGAGAAATCGATTAAGCGGTGACTGTATGTCCGTCCGTCCGTCCGTCCGTCTGTGCACACGATAACTCGAGTAAAAAATTTAGATATATTAACGAAACTTGGTACGGTCAATAACCACGCCTACCTCCCATGTAATGGTAGTTTTCAGAAATACGAAAACTGGTATATTCTTGTAACTACTGAAGATTATTCACTCAAAATTGATATTTATTTTAGACGAAAAACAGGAATATTATAAATTTTTGGAAAATGGGCGTATCCACGCCCACATATAATTGCATGTGTATATCTTGGTAACCGCTCCAGCAATTTCTCCCAAACTTGGCACAGTTGTTGGACTTGGTACAACATACCAAATGGCTGAAAATTTTTAAAATCGGTCGCGCCCACATCCCATATAATTTGAAGAAATATGAAATTTTCGATAAATCAGTAAATACTAAAGCTAATTTATTCAAAATTGATGCTTGCAATGATTCTTTAAGGAGGATGATTCTTTAAGGAATACGTTTATGATACAATTTTGGAAAATGGGTGTGGCACCGACCACTTATGATTATATATGTATCTCGGTAACCGTTTTATCAATTTGTACCAAACTCGGTATGGTTATTGTGCTTGCCACATAAATGCAAAACGTTGAAAATTATTGAAATCGGTCTAAATTACGGCCACTTTTCATATAACGGTAAATTTCAAAAATTCTTGAAATTTGTAGATTTCGAAATTTAAGGACGCTAATGTACTCAAAATTGATATTAACAACAATCCCTTGAAAATAAGTAACATTATTTGGAATTTTGGAAAATAGGCGTGATACCGCCCACATATGAGTATATAAGTTTCTATCTATTCTATTTCATACTTTTCATACAAGTAATATATGTTCTAAATATGAACCACAGCAAACTATTAATGCGGGTTTTACAAATATCTCGACTCCTGCGCCACCAGCGGACTAAGTCATCTTTTATATTGCACTGTCCTCGAGTTCTGAGCTAAGTTTAAAGTTTCAAGTCTGTAGCTCATCGGGAAGTTGGTTAAATATTGATTGCAAATTTCCAGGACATACATACATACATACAAGTGTTACAAGTTAAATAAAAGCTTGTAAAAACAAGTAATTTTTAGCAAAAAAAAACCGACTTCAACTCCCATATAAAAAAA